ATTCGCCGTAGACACAAAACCATTAGGCAACTTCTCAATACGAGTATTATCTCGATTGACTATGTCAAGTCGAAGGATAATTTAGCGGATCCATTAACCAAAGGGTTAACCAATGAGCAACATGAGAAGTTAGTGGTAGGAATGGGTCTGAAAGCCCTACCCTGTGCTGGGAACGTTCCATGAAGGAAAACCCAACCTAGGTGGAACCTGGGTTCAATGGGACAACCTACTTGTGGAACGAAGCACGGTCACTGTGGGGGCAAGCCGGATCACCGACTTAACACCCCTCCGTTCCTACTAAGATATAGTAACTCCCGAAAACGATGAGGTTAGCATGACGCTTTAATGATTCTTGAACCATGGACAACGAGGTCCAAGTGGAGTAATCGGGATACTCTTAGAAGAATCACCTATGTAAGAGTGAAGTGCGGTCGCTTCAACAGAAGGATTTCAGGCTGATCCTGTCTGACACTCTCGCAGAACCAGATGCGTGTTCCACGACCATAATGGGCACACCCATGAGAACGGAATGATGGTTGGTTGAAACTTGTGTATTGTATATCATCGTTTACATAAACGGCAGTACAGTTCAAAGACATCACGTTCTACTGAACAGCAAGTAGAGAAGGTATACTTTACAAGGAGTAGGTTCAAAGGCATAACACCTACCTACCCTTGCAGGTTTCAACTTCAGAGTTATTGCCAGTTACATGAATTAATTTTCATTCATGTGGGGGATTGTTGGAAATTTTTTAGTAAATTGGACGATTTTCGGACATAAATTCGGTTGGGTCCACAAATTATTTTTCAAAATAATTATGGACGATTAATCTCGTAAGTAAGACGGACGTCTTGACATATTACACGCCATAAACGGTGCTCGGGTAAATGAGAAATTAATTCTCAAAGTTGAATTCTAAGGTAGAGTAAATGCCTTTGTCCCACACCGGTTTCTAAACCTTTCGTATTCTCATATTTAAGCTTAGGCATTGAAGTGAGCTTATGAAAGGAACAAGAAAAGGACTCCTCGCGCGCCCGCCGCCGCCGTCCGTCCGGCTCGACACGCGCGGCGCGCCCGCGTCTGCGGCGTGGCTAGCTTTTTACGAGATCAAAATAAAAAACGCGCGTGTACACTTCGTTAATAACGAAGTGTACGAAATTAAGGCATTCATGCATGGAGACGAAGGGATGGCCTGCGTCTCCTCGGTAACTCCGTCCAGTCCAGTTGAGGAGCCAATTCCGCTCCTATAAAAGGAGGGTTGGTTGCAGGGAGAAAAGACATAGCAAACACTCGAAAATCTCTCTTTCTCTCTGCGTTACAACTTTCCGACCATCTCCCATTTCCGATTACCTTCTCCGGCTATAACTCCCGTCATTCTCGTTCGCCGGTGCTTTGTTCTACCGCTCTAGACCTAGCGGGAAGCGGTTTTATCCTGGGAGGAGATTGCCCACGTTAGCCAGTGCGGGAGGCGGGCAATACTACCTTAAGGAAAGCTTCGGAGACTCCGCTTGCCTTACCATTCTTTGCTCTGGCGTCGTTCCTCTCTCCGTCCGTTCGTGTTCTTCCGTTCGTTCAAGCATCCGAAGACTCCAAATTTTATTTTCTTTTATTTTGTTGTAAAATCCGAACGTTTTATAAGTTCGGATTATTTTACTTTTATTTTCCCGTTGTAATAGATTAACAAATAACAGTAGAAATGGAAATGGAAAGGGAATTGAAAGATGAGGAACCACATCCCTTAGGCTATGCTCTTTTCGATTGTAATTTTAAGCTGAATGTTGGAAGAAACTAAAAGAAATTTGAAGAAATTTGAAGGAATAAAAAAATTCAAAGGAGTTGGAAAATGTAAAAAAAAGAAATGTGAAAAAAATCACTCAATTAAAGGATTATCCAAATAAATATGTAAGAAAAAGAGTTTTGGATATAAAAAAGAATTCAAATTTGTCCGTGTTTGAAGTATTATGTTATAAATTTGGATATAGAATGTTATTGTATAGTCATCATATGTAAATACATATTTTAAACTGTTCTTGGAAAAAAATCGAAAGACTTAGAAAAAACTGAAATGAGTAGAAAGAAGCTGCAAAGAATTGGAAAAACAGTAGTTTTTTCAATCGAAAAAATAGATCCTTAGAGCACTGGAAATACTCTTGAAACCCCGGGGCCTCAAACCAGGGCTTCAAAATTTCTCTCTCTACCACGTCAGCTTTAACTTACCTCACAAATTCACTGGAAATGGGTTTGAAGCCCCGGGGCTTCAAACCTTCATTTTTTACATTTTTAAATATACATCTTCTAAATTTAAATTAATAAATTTAAATTAATTTATTATTTAAATTATTCACAATGAGACTAGTGCATTAAAAAAATTACATTCATTAAAAAAATATTACATTCATAAAAAAATTCATTCATAAAAAAATTACATTCATTAAAAAAAATTACATTCATAAAAAATACATCCATAAAAAAAATTAAATTCATTAAAAAAATATTACATAAAAAAAATAACACTACAAAGAAATTACTAATTATTCGAGCGACTAAAGATATGTTCGATCAAATCCGCCGTTAGTGCATTGTGAATCTCTCGGCTTTGAATTTCTTGGCGGTTTCTTCGTTTCTTTTCTTCGTTGGTTTCTTCATACATAGGCACCTCCTCGTCCGGGTTGTATTGACAAATCGCAGTCTCGTTGTCCTCTATGATCATATTATGAAGAATAATACATGCATACATGATATTCCTCATTTTCGTTTGAGAATACATTTCGACGGTCGATCTAGAATGTGCCATTTACCCTTCAAGACCCCAAAGGCTCATTCAATATCTTTTCTCGCCGCCTCTTGAGCTTTTTGTAGGTCTGGCGTTTAAGACACATTGGTTCGGAGAGGGATTTGACAATCGTGGAATAATCTAAATATATTCCATCGGCCAAATAATATCCACGCTTATAAAGCGTCCCTCTAAGCTCAAAAGAGGAGTCGGGTGCGATCTCATTAATCCAATCGTCAAAAACAGGCGATTGATCGAGAACGTTGATGTCGTTGTTCGAGCCCGCAAAACCGAAAAAAGCGTGCCAAATTCACAAGTCATTTGAAGCAACATCTTCGAGCATGATAGTAGGCTTGGGATGATCTCCCCAGGAGAATTGACCGTGCCACGTAGTGGGACAATTTTTCCATTCCCAATGCGTGCAATCAATACTCCCAAGCATGCCGACAAATCTGTGTTTAGCGTAAAAAGAGAGGACGACTCATCCGAAAATGGTTACTAAAATCCTCCGGTGTATAAACACACGGATTATTAAAATAGTCGTTTAGAAGTGAAGCGTGGGCGGCTGCTCGATCCCAGTTTAAACGTTGTCGTCGGGAGGATTCAGCTTCTTCTTCTTCGCCTTCTTCCCACCATTGAATACAACTCGTGGCGAAACAACGAAAAATGAGAGCTCTTTTTTCTTCGTCGGATGAAGATGACCCCATTTTTAAAATATATTTTATAAATATTTATAATAAATACAGAGTAATAAATATTTTAGAGAGAAGATAGTGAGAAATGTGTGAGAGAAATGTGTGGGAGAAAGATTTTTTAGGGGAATTTATAGGTTTTTTTTAATTTAGAA